ATTCTGTCTTCCTTTCTTTGTCTCTGCCCCTCCTCTGCTCATACAGTCTCTCTGGATCTCAAAAATAAACATAAAACATTCTTAAAAAATTTTTTAAAAAGGAAGAAATGTATCAAACGCACTAAAATGTCAGCAAAGATGATCTCTTTGTATTTTTTCACACCTCTACTATGAACATGTTTTTTGAGCATCAGGAAAAACCGTTTTTGTTTTGTTTTCTTTCCTCTTTTCTTTAAACTGGAGGGATGATTCCTAAGGCCAAAAAAAATTACAAACTATCTTGTCAAAGGGTGGTGGTTGACTGCTGGTCATTGGTCACGAAGGCTACTTATATCCATGCTAGCCACAACACGCATCTTTCCTAAATACCAACCCGCATACTTCTGAGTTTCAGAAAGGCTTCAACCACTTCCCCCCACTTCACCTAACCTCTTTCTTATCTTTCTCCCTTCCTCCCAGGCTCCCACATGGAGACACTGGGCTCTCCCTGGCGTCTGTCCTTAGAACAGTGAGAGTTCTGACTTCATCAAGATTCAAAACTGGTAAACAGCTCTGCTACAAGGTCTACCCCGCACCCACCTCCCCCCCCACCTCCCCCCCTCCCACCTACACCCCCACCTCTCTGACATCACTCATCATTATCTCCCTGCCCCGAGCCGTTCTCTTTGCCTGGACCCATCTTCTTCCAGGTAGCTGTAAGGGCTTATTCTTTCACCTGCATGTATTTGGGCATATTATATGGTATTATCCATGGATCTTCCTTCAAAGCTGTAAAAAGTGCTGTAAAATACTTTCTATTAAAAAGAGGCAATGGGTCTGATGAATTAAGGACTCCTGCTGTACTGTGATTACTGGTTGGCATTTCTGTCTCTCAGACGAAATTGGACACTCTGGGTGGGGGTGGGGGGTGAGGGGGTGGCAAGGCTGAGCCAAATGTTTGCTGAAAAAAATGAATGAACACATGAGCAGGCTGGTGATATCTAAGGGGTGGGGCTGGGAGGTCGAGGGGCAGCTGCAGTGAGAAGCTTTGACCCCCAGGCTTGTGAGGGGGGAGCCACACTCTTGGCAGTGTGTACACGGACCTGACTGGGAGGTGGTGAAGATGCGCTGTCTGGCCAGGAACTCCTGGCTCCGTGGCAACAGGGCTGGGTGCCTGGCAGGCATAAGGGGAGTCAAGGGTCTGGGAAGGGGAGGGCAAGGAGCTGCCCATCTTCTGCATCCACAACACCCCTGGACTCTCTCTAGAAGCCCAGCCACTCACCACGCCTGCTGGAAACCACTGGCCCCACAAAGATCACAGAGCCCACCCCTGTCCCATGTCCCATGAAGCTCCTGGTGCACTGTGGGTTAGGGAAATAACTCCCTGAGGATCTGGGGTTCATGGCTGAGCAATCTTAAACTGCCCCTTCAACCTCTCCCTATCTGTGAACTGGGGGTACTCACCCCTACACATGTCCCAACCCTGTGGTGAGGATCACATAGACTGTCAACATGAGGATCTTGGTCAATTGTGAAGGCTATGCAGATGTCGGTCAGTATAACACAAAATAATAACAGTTTGACTGCTAAACATAATTAAATCTTTGGTGATTCAGAGGTCCTTCTGGAGCTTAAGCTCATCGTCGTCAACATCAAGGATTACCGAATGGTATTCTGGATCAAACTCTGATTGCTGCAACTTTCTCGGTGTTTAAATTCTAGATAAGGAAGGCAATTCTGTAACCCATCAGAGCGTACTGGGGACCGACTGGAGGCCACTCCAGTCCTTTGCTGGGCGCCACCGCCCACACCGTCTCTGTGGTTGGAGGGAGGGTTTGTCTACTTAGGCAGAATGCATTCACTTGAGCAGAAAGCCCTGCTCTGGTAGGAAAAAAAAAAATAAAAAAATCCCTCAGACTCCACCCTCTTCCTTTGATCCTCCTCCTGAATGCCGGGCTAGAGCCACAGACGCAAAGCAGCTCAGATGTAATTATTTTCATTCAACCAGATGCTGAGAATTAGTCTCTCTTCCTTGCAAGTAAGTATTCTAGGGAAAGACAGCACTCAGCCAAAGACGCCCCAAAAGAAAAGGAGCTGACAATCTCAAGAAGGAAAGGAGCCCACCCCCCACCTCCTTGCCTCTGAACAGCTTAAATCACGGAAACTGTGGCCACTCCTGGAGGGAAGGTGGGGAAGGGGAGCGCCCAATAGATACTAAAGGGCAGACAGATTGTTTGCCAATCCCATTGTCTAGAGCTTCAGAATTCCCAAAGTCCTTTCACTTCTATTACCTTATTTAATTATAAACTGGGGAGGAAGTCACCCGCTGAGCTGGAAGCTTGGGGGCCAAGGGAATTTAGGCTTCAAGGAATTCAGATTCCATTCTTCCCCGGCACCAGTTAGACAGAACCACCTCCATGAGCTCCTTTAATCCTTGTGACACCCCTATCAGCCCCAACATGACAGACAGGCTCGGGAACCTTCGAAAGCTCTACTGTCATGGCGGCTGGGTTCTCTCTCCCTTGTCTCAACTCCAGCAACTTCCAGATGGTCAGCATACAAACCCGTAGTTCACGGTCTGCTGCTACACATTGGGTCTGGGCTTTTATTCAGTTACAGAGTCCTTCTGATGGATCCTAGATGAATGTCTACTGCACACCAAACCGTACACCAGGGGTTCAGTCCTGCTGCCAAATTCTCCCAGAAACAGGGAGGCTAACAGACACTTAGACAAGCCAGCATGACAGGTGCTGTATAAGTTGATTTGGGCATCACTACACTGCCCTGTCCCATCCATTCTGTGTCTTGTTCTCCAACTGGAAGACTCTGCAACCAGAGTTTGGAGCCCCACAGCCTGATGGTTAAAGACCCTGGCTCTAGAACCAGACTACCTGGGTTCAAATCTCTCCTACCCAGTGGCTCTGTGACCTTGGGCAGGTCATTTAACCTCTCTGGAAAATAAAAACCATAATATATCAAATATTATGTAACACATCATACTACCTACAGTATTTATGTCGCACACAGGAATTTTGATAAAGAAGTCCATACATGTAAACCACTTAGCACAGTGTACGGCTCAGAATAATTGCTCGATTAATCTTGGTTAACACTTTATACCCGCCATAGCAGCAGTTCTCAAAGGATGGACCAGGAACCCTCAGGGGGTGGTCCATGAGGCCAAAGCTATGCTCATAATAACATGAGTTTTATTAAAATCTAAAAATCTGGAGTTTTCTATAAGTGACCTAACAGTGATATCACAGCAGACTGACTGCAGAAGCAAATATGAGACTCTAACTCTCCTCCGTTCAGCCTGACGTTAAAGAGACTTACAAAAATGCAAAACAAGGCCACTCTTCTCACTAAATGACTTTGTTTTGGAAAAGGCAGCTATTTTTCAGAAAAGTTGTTGTGTTATGCTTTAATAGGTTAAAGTGTTGTCGTTTTTAAATGAATTAACATATATTTTCTTAATTTCTCAACTTGATTTTTAAAAAAGTTTTTTTTATGTTTTTATTTTATTTCTGAGAGAGCGAGACAATGTGAGCAGGGGAGGGGCAGAGAGAGAGGAAGACATAGAATCCAAAACAGGCTCCAGGCTCTGAGCTGGCTGTCAGCACAGAGCCCGACGCAGGGCTTAAACTCACGAACTGTGAGATCATGACCTGAACCAAAGTCGGATGCTTAACTGAGAGGCGCCCCTCTCAACTTGATTTTCTAATGTGGGAAATATTTATAGCTAACAAACACCGTAGTTGCACTGACTTCCCAGGAAGGTCAGAAACTCCTGTTTCTCCTCCTCCCACACCCTCTAACCTGAGCCCTGTGTGAAGTTGGGTTCCCAGGTCGCCCCAGGCTGGGTCCTGGGTTCACACTCTGTGGCTACCTCTTCTTTCTCTCCCCAGGACCCACCCCATTCCCACCTGCAGCTTCTAACTAACCTCAGAGGCATGCCAGCCTAGGAACGAGCCCAGGTTTTAGAATCAGGCTGACCTGGATGAGAACCTTGACTCGACCACTTCCTGTCCTTGAACATCAGACTTAGCTTCTCTGAGCCTGTTTCTTTATTTGTAAAACGAGAACAACAACAGTACCCACCTCTTCGGATTGTTGTCAGTAGTGATAACTTACGTAAAAATGCCCATCGCCTGACAATAATAACTATCATCATCGCTCTGTTCCATCATTATGTTTAGCCATGTTTAGCCCCTGAGCCTCTTGTTGGTGTGCTCAGCTACGCCTTCAGCCATCCCCACCTCCCTCTGCTCCATAGTCCCACAGAAGAAGAAAACCAAGGGCCGCGGGGGATGACAGACTCTGGCTTCGCAACACACACACCCCGACCACGCACTCCACTCCCTCAACCCCGTGCAGGGTGTCACCCCACTCCAGAGCTAAAAGTGTGATATGATAACGAAATGCCAAGCACCCAGGCTCCACGACCGAAAAAGCCCTTCTGCTGCCAGTGCTGGAGCCAAAGCAGTCTTGGTTCACAGACATGTGAGAGGTGACCATGAAGGGGAAGGAAGGGGGTCCGGCGTGGAGGGCAGGGGCCCAGGGCCAGACCAGCTCTGCTGCTAACTGTGGACAAGCTCTTCCCCCCTCTGGGCCTCAGTGGGCTCTGCTATAAAGGAGAAGACACCGGAGCGCCTGGGTGGTTCAGTCGGTTAAGTGTCCCACTCTTGGTTTCGGCTCAGGTCATGATCTCACAGTTCATGGTTTGAGCCCCGCATCAGGCTCTGTGCTGGCAGTGTTGAGCCTGTTTGGGATTCTCTCTCTCTCTCCCCCTGCACCCCCCACCCCTCAAAATAAATAAACGAACATAAAAAAAAAAAAAAGAAGACATCTAGCTCTGATGTTACGGAATTCTATGACAGCCAGGTCAAACTGAGGAGCCCTGCCTTCTGCAGACACCCTCCAAAGATATATGTGGCCATGGGGTCACAGGGAGAGCAGCCTGCCCTCTGTCACTGCCCAACTCCCACTAGGTACCATCCTGGAGCCCCTCTGCCACTCACCCTACAGTTGCTCAGTTCCTCAGCAGACAGGATGATGGTGCCACATTTCTTCCCTGGGACGCCGCTGAGAGAGGAGAAGATGAAAGGATGGAGAACCAGACAAAGACAGAACACTCCCCGAATCAGCCCTCCCTGTCCTCCCCACTCCTCCATCCAGCAGATCTGCCCGAAGCCCCTGAGAAGACAGAGTCTCCGGGAATACATGAGGCAGCGTGACCTGGCGCACTGCTTCCTGGGCCAGGCCCCCCAGGCCTGGAGCTGCCCACCCCCTGCTCCCCGAGAGCCCAGAGCCCCCGCCGGGAAAGGTAGTGTCTGCGGTGAAAGTCCTAGAAGTGGAAAAGCATCCAGACTCACCCGGAGGCTTCCAGACCAGTGGTTCTCAAACTTTCCATCCAAAGACCACTTCTGTGGGCAAAAGACCTCGTGGGCCAGCCACCCCACCCTGCTGCACCCAGCTGACCCCCAGAGTCCCGGGCCATTTCAGCTCTGAGCCACTCCAGTTTATCATGGGAGGGAGAGCAGTGGGGGTGGGGGGGAGTTACCCAGAAGGGCTGGGGTGCACTTGGGGGGCAGCGTGTCCAGGTTGTCTCCCATGGCTACCTCCCCTTGAACTCCTCGGCTGGGGTCTCTCCGGGGAAGAGAGACCTCAGCCATTCATGGGGCAACTCAGTGACGGGGGCAAGCAGGACATGAAGTCGGCCCACCCGAAGCATCCCTTCGGGGAGGCCGAGTTCCCCGGGGTGGGCCTGCACCCACCTTTTCCCTGGGTCAGGAAGGACCCCTCCCCCAGGCACCAGCCCATCTCACTCCAGTGTTTGGGATGAACTTGGGGGTGAGCGTCCCCAGTGTAGCCAGGGGCCACTGGGAGAGAGAAGAAAAAAGTCACGTTGTCCAGCAGCTGCGTGACTTGGGACTCATGGCTGCACCTCTCTGAGCCTCAGTTTCCTAAATCGAGTGTGTCTTATAGCCTCCATTATTACCAATGTGCCCACACAGTGCTCGCTCCAAGAAAGCCCTCAAAGAGCGCCCCTTCCCTCCCTGCCCCCTTCCCTTTACAATTTTGCAAAGCTGGCAAAATCCGTCCCCACACCTCAGGCCAGCCTGCTGCCGGCAGAAGGCACTTTGAGAACCCCTGATGGAACTCTCCTCAGTGCCAGCTTTTGGAGGGAGGGGCTCTCAAGTAGAGGAGGCAGGGGAGCTGGCCCCAGCAGGGGAGTCAGCACAGGTCTCTCCAATCAGGTGAGCAGGGCAGGGACTGGAGGCTCCCATCATAGAAGTGTGGCAGGGCCCGTCAGCCTGTCCCCGTAGCCGTGGGGAGCTGAGTGGAGTGCCCCAACGGTGCCCCCCCACCCCCAGCCCTGGTCTGGCCCTAGCTGGGGTTGCTATGCTGTGTTTGACCCAGGAGACAGACCAACCTCCCCTGCCAGTGTTTCTCCATCTGTTCCTTCCTCTGCCTCTGGGCCCCTCTCCTACTTCCCATCTTCCCTTCCCTCCCCTCCAGACCCAACCCACTCCCACCTGCTTGGCCTTCCTTTCTCTCTCTCTCTGCCTTTCTGGCCCTCCCTCTCTGCTTCTCTCCCTGACTCCTGTCCCCTCTCCAACGGCTGCTTCCATACTCTCCTTGTAAATTAGCATCCATACTCTTCCTGGGCCCCTAGAGGCCCCTTTCCCATATCCAGCTGCTCTGGGGGCCGGTCTGGCCACTGGGACCCCGCTCCTGGAAGCTCTCAGCAAGGCCAGTGAAGCTTTGCTTACTCAGCCAAAATGCCTATCTGTCTGAGTGAGGCACCTCCAGGTTGCTCCCACAGGCAGACAGCCCCTATCCTGCCCCCCAGCACCCTCAAGCGAGGACCCTCCCTCCAGGCAGGGGAGGGGAGAGGCTAGGGGTGGAGAGGGAGCATCTTTGTTGCACACAGCTGCAGGGAGCCAGCTGAGAGCACATGGTCAGGGTGAAGGCCAGGGGAGTGAGGCCGGCCCACCACAGCTGGTGAGCAAACAGGAAACGTGAGGATTTAGCGGAATCTTCTCCACGAAGAGGCAGACATCCAGCCGTGGAAGCAATGGAGGGGAATTGGAGTCAGGAGATCAACAGAAGTGAGGGAAAGAGGAAGGCGAGAAGGCCCAGAGGTAAGAGGCCCAAGAAACCAGGCCAGGGAGAGAGGAAGAGAATGTATCCAGCCCCTGCTAAGCACTGAAAGCAGCCCCTACCTCTGATCTCCACCCTGCTCCCTGAAGTCCCATGAGCCACTGGGCCCGGGGATGCCCTGCACAGGCCTGGGTGGGGGAGGGGCCGGCTGCGGAGTGGCCCAAAGTGCTCGCATCCTGGAGAGGGGACCCAGGCTCCTCTCTCTCCCCCTGGCCAGGGCTGGATGAACAGTGGCAGGAGTGGGGACAGGGCCTGGCCTCTGGGGCGCCCTCTGCCGAGCCGGCTGGATGTCTGAGGACTCCAGGACCAGAGGTGTCTGCTGACCTACCCATTGGCCACAGCTGGCATGGGCTTGCCTGTCCTGGAATTCAGGCTGAATGCTCCTATCCTGTGGAGAGAGAGGAAGAGAGAGCATGCCATGAGCCACGTACCCCCACCTGGAGAGGCCACAGAACTTGACATCGAAAGTCTGGAGATAGATTTCTCTTCTGGATCAGACATCAAACCAGGACTGAAAGCCACAGGCCAAAGGAGAGGCCTTCCTCCCAAGGCCCGTTGTGAAGTCCTGGGCGACTCCACCTCAGGGTTCTCAAAGTGTGGCCTCTGGACCAGCACCATCGGTGTCTCCAGGGAATGTGTTAGAAATGTAAATTCTCAGGCTCCAGCCCAGACTTGCTGGTCAGAACGGGGGATGGGGGGGAGCCCAGCAATCTGTGCTTTAACAAACCCCCCTGAGGATGCTGACCATTTGAGAACCACTGCTCTACTTCTCTGAGCTTCAATGTGTGAACTGTGAAATGGGGAGATCTGCTGAATGAACCTCAACAGAGAAGCCGATCATGGTCTGGCCTAGATGAGACGCCCAGTGAAGGGGGGCTGTGCGTGGGACTCAATGGGGTGACTGAGGCACCTGAAACCTTCAGTGGGGGAACCAGGTGCCCCTCATTCACCAACCCTTCCTTTCCAGGATCCTGCCTGCCCTCCGGGCTGGCCTCCCCAGGTCTCCTGCTGAGCTCCTCCTCAATCCCCCCAGAGGGTGCACCTCTCCACCAAAGGTGCGCTGGGTGACAGCGGGGAAGAAACAGACCGGATGACGAATGGGCTTTAGACCCAGGCAGTTGGGAGCTGAGAGGGGCAGACATATACCTCACTCTGGGACTCCAAATTCTATAAACTTCAGAGCCCCCAAACCTGGGTTTGTTCCCTATTCTCAATAAATGATGGTTTATATCATCATTTTCTGTGAATCCAGAGAAGGAGACCTTTTTAGGGACAGAGAGGCCAGTCTGGGGGACCTGAAGTTACCATACAGTTAGCGGGGGTCAGAGACAAGGGCCTGGGAGAGAGGGCCCCCTCCCCGACAATAAGACATTCTGCAGTTACTGATCACAGCGAGGGAATCGCAGCCGGCGTGAACTTGGTAGAAGCAAGCGGGGGGCTGGTGCCCAGCCTACTCTGATCCCCTTCTTTTGCCCACCCTGCTGCTTGGCCAGGATGCCTGTCCCAGTCTGCAGCTCCTCTTGTCTGGGTTCTGTCCCTAGGGATTCCTGAGAAATAGGGACCCTTGCTACCCAGCCAGCCCCAGATAGACCTGAAGCCACACGCAGGCTCCACTGTGAGAAGCTTTGGGATTCTTCATCCCGGAGCCTGCTGAGAGTAACGGCTTCCCCTAAAAGCACTTAGAGCTCTCTAACACAGGTCATCAGGGGCAGGGTGAGAGGAGGAGGGCCTCACCAGACCCACGTCTGGCGTACAACAAGGTGTGACCACTCTGAGCACTATGCCTAGTGAGGCGAACTCTGAATTCAAATCCCAGGTCTCCATCTTCCTAGCTGTGTGCCGTTGGGCAAGGATGTTTCCTTCCCAGGGCTTTGATTTCTTCCCCTCTACAATGGAAAGGGTGGGAGGTGGGAGTAGACTGGATAGTGTCACAGGCCATCCCAGGAATGTGGGCTCTAATAACTAAGCCCGGGTCCCTCGAAGATAACTGGGGTAAAAGTGCTGCCAGGACAGAGCCCACGGGGTCTTCTTATTCCTCACCAGCCCTCATGACTGGCTGGCTGCTTTGCCCCCACCCTGAGCCCAGGGCGGCTGGAAAGTTGGCCTACCACTGGGGAAGCAACCCAGGCAGGCCCCACTCCCTTGACACTCACGTGAGGGGCTTCTCCAGGCGACTCCCAGGGGACCCCACAATCTCTCCGAGGGTGCAGAAGGCTTGGCCCAGAAAATCCTGCATACCCGGGGAACAGAAAAAACCAGCATCACCCACCCTGCCCACAGCCACCCCACCTCCTCCATCGCCCCCTCCCTAGAAGCACGAGGGCTCTGAAATGACAGGTGGCAGCCTCAGACACCCAGTCAGTGTCACAACCAAGTCCAAGGCCAACACAGACCCTGGCATTTACGAGATGTTCAGAACCTCTGGGCGGTTGCTGGCAAAACTCACGTGTTTGGATAAATCAGGGCTCTTCGAGTCCACGTCGTAGCTGCACGGAACACACAGAGATGGTGAAGACAGCTGGGGCCCTTGAGCTGAGCCCAGACCCCTATCCTCCAAAACCCCAGGTTCTGACTCAGTGGCTATCTCTGGGAGTAATGGCGGGGAGGCGCACGGGGGAGCCTCATAGGGGGCTGGGCATGTTCTGTCTTTTGATCTGGGTGGCGGTTATGTGAGTGGGAACATCTAGAAGTGCATCACGGGACGGCCTCTTAAGACTTGCACACGTCACGATATGCATGTTATACCTCCTTCAAGATTGAAAAATGAAAACAAACTTGCTCTGCAAGGTTACAGGTTTACGGGCACTCAGCCACCTTGCCCTTCAACTGCCTGTTCTCCCATCTTCCAGCTGAGGCTCGGCTGCCATTGAAGTGAGCTCAGTACCTGGCTTTTGACCTTCCCCGATTGTGTCACCTTGCTCAGGCTTGCCCTGCCTGACCTTGGGCCTTGTCACTCAAGAACGGGGCGTTCATTCAACACCTTCACCTCTTCTACCTGCAGCTGGGCACCTTCCTTTATCTGGGGCCTCACACCTGGAGCTGTATCTGCAGCCTTTTTCTCCGGTCACACTGGCCACCCAGGCCCAGATGCCTCATGAGGGACAGTCATTCTCGTGCTACCCTGCCCTGAGCACTTTCTCTCTCCCCAATGTCCCAAAACGGTGAATTCTCGACAATGGGCTGCAAGTCCTCCATCAGCCCCTGAAAAGTCATTTCCTTCTACTGTATTTTTTCCTTTGCTCCTTTAAGCCTCCTTTTCGTCTGCCCTGTCCACAATTCTCTGGGACACGGTCCTTTCTAACCACCCCATGTGGTGGAAAGACAACAAAACAAGGCTCCCCGACCTGCTCACCAGACTGAAATCCCACCATCATATTTTTTTAACTTAAAACTATTTTTTAATATTTATTTATTTATTTATTTTTGTTTTATTTATTTCTAGGAGAGAGAGAGCGAGACAGCGTGAGCAGAGGAGGGTCAGAGAGAGAGGGAGTCACAGACCGAAAGAGTCTCCAGGCGCTGAGCTGGCAGTCAGCACAGAGCCCGACGCGGGGCCCGAACCCACGAACCGTGAGATCATGACCTAAGCGAAAGTTGGATGCTTAACCGACTAAGCCACTCAAGTGCCCCTTTTAATATTTATTTTTGAGAGAGAGAGACACAGACTGTGAGTGGGGGAGGGGCAGAGAGAAAAAGGCAGAATCCAAAGCTGGCTCCAGGCTCTGAGCTGTCAGCACAGAGCCCGATGTGGGGCTCGAATTCACGGACCGTGAGATCATGACCTGAGCTGAAGTCAGATGCTCAACTGACTGAGCCCCCCAGGCGCCCCTCCCCGCCACCCCGCTGTCATCATCTTGAACCTCAACAGAGGGGCACTCTGCTCCTTTGTGAGACCCACACACACATGCTCTGAGCCCCATCAGCCAGGTTACCTCTGCGGTAGGGGAGACTGGGGGGTACTCTCTCCCCAAACAAGCTCTGACAGAGGGAGCGCTCAGTAGGGACCTCCCTGTCATCTGGGGAGAAAAAGGCTCCCTGGAGGTGGAGCTAGAGCTGCCCCCAAGAACTTGCCTCAACTGGTCCCTAGAGTCAGGGCTCGTCCAGTGCCTTACACTTAGCTGAGACAAACGGTGGGGAGCCTCCGTTCTGTCTCCCCACCCCTCTTCCATCTCCTGATGAAGGTGGGGCTAGACTTCAGCTAATTGTCATCACATTCATTCCAGGCCAACCCTGAGCTCCCTCTACTATCATTCCCCGCCCTTCTCAGGTAAGCTAAGGGGAACTACTACCAACCCCAGTCCTACGGTGCCCTCGCCCATCAGTGGTTCCTCCCCCAGCCCCATCCTCAGCACCATCTTCCACTTACAGGTCAAAACGGAGGTTCTGCTTCTCCTCAAAGAAGTAATCCACGATGAATTTGCGCACAAAGTCAGGATTGAGTGTGTTGTCAATGACTTCGGTGCGTCCAAACTGCAAGAGAAAATGGGGCATGGACCTCAGGGCTAGGCTGGTGGGGCAGCGGAGAGCACTGAGCTCTCCCCTCGGCCCCTCGGTCGTGGCCCCAGTAGTAATGGAAGTCATGCCTGTCCCGGCTCCTGGCCCCATCCCCCACCCCCAGCCAGGGCCTTCCTCTCTAACAATGAAAACCACCCATGCTAACGGCTTCGAATGTCCATTGTCAGCTTTATTCTCCCTACCTCTATCCAGGCTCCACCCAGGTTGATACAGAGACACCTGAGCAGGCCTTCACTTTCCCACCTCACTGCCTTTGCCTATGCTCTGTCCTCCACCTGGCCTTCCCTTTTGTGCCAGACACACACCCTCCATTTCTTCAAAGTCCTTTGATAATGCTGCTTCCTCCTAGAAGCCTTGCTGATTCTTCCACTCAGAGACTTTCACTTCTCTCTGAACCACCGGTGAACTTGTGCTTAGCCCTATGAGCACGGTCCTTCTCTGATTGATTCCACAGTTAGGTGTGTACTTATCTGACGCCACAAATGTAAATGAAAGGGCAGAAGGAGGGATTGTGGTATCTTTTAAGATCCCCTACCTCCTGCCCTTGTATAATCCCCTCCCCTTTAAGGTGGGCTAGACTTCATGACTCACTTCATGAATAGAATGGAGCATAAGCCACTCCCCCAAAATGTTACAAACTGTTACAAACTGTTACCATGATTTCTGTCTTGGGCACCCTTTCTCACTCTCCTTTGCTTGCTCACTTTGAGGAAGCCAGCTGCCTTTGGAGAGGCCCATGTGGCAAGGAACTGAGGGTGGCCTTAGGCCAACAGCCAATGAGGAACCAGGCTGTCTGCCAACCCACCTGTAAATATCTGAATCTTACCAACAGCAACTGAGTGAACTTAGAAGTGGACCCAATAGAAGCTTGAGATGACTGAGGCCCTGGCCCTGACCTTGACTGTAGCCTTGTGAGAGACCCTAGGGTAAAGGAACCCACAAAGCTGCACCCTGTTATTTACCCAGATTCATGACCCTGTTAAGTTGCTAAACTCTGGGCCAATTTGTTACACGGCAACAGATAACTAATGAATTGACATAATTCTTTGGTATTGCCTACAGCACGTACTCTAGAACTTTGCACACATTAGGCACTCACTAACTGAATCCCCTTGACCTCCCCAAATGACATAAGGCAAGTCACTCCCATTTCTGGGCATCAGAATCACTTGGAGGGTTTGTTAAAAGATGGAGTGTAGGTCTCACTCCCAGAGGTTATGATTCAATAGACTTAGGTGAGGCCTGAGAATCTGCATCTCTCAAACTGTGCTGCTGGTGCGGGGAGGGACCTCCCTTTGACAACCTCTGGGCTAGACTGTTGTATGCAGGGCTCTGAGCATCTTGGAGTCTCCCGGGGGAATGGATGAGGACAGTGTGGACATGGGTCCAGGCCATCACTTCCATCAAAACAACTCACTCTTACATCTGTTCGACGTACTGGACATTTTGGGGGAGATTTTATTGCAGAAATGGGACATGAGGCTAAAAGATAAGGCATGAAGCACTGTACCCTAACCTCCCTGAAGGGAAGGCAGGATATTCCACAAAATGAACAAGACAGACAGATGCACGACAAATAGTTTAAATAAGTTGCTAATATTTCTTTTTTTTTTTTTTAACATTTTTTAATGTTTATTTTCGAGAGAGAGAGGGACAGAGTGAGAGCGGGGAAGGGGCAGAGAGAGAGGGAGACACAGAATCGGAAGCAGGCTCCAGGCTCTGAGCTGTCAGCACAGAGCCCGCTGTGGGGCTCGAATCTACAAACTGTGAGATCATGACCTGAGCCACGGTGGGACGCTTAAGTGACTGAGCCACCCAGGCGCCCCAGTTGCTAATATTTCTGAACACATAAACATGTTTTTTTCAACTTGGGTAGTAATTTGCCAAGATAAAAAATTAATTCTGAATACTAGTCCTCCTTAATGCGGCTCTGCAGCCCAGAATAATGCCAGTACCTGGGCCCCTCTCCCATGTGGTGGGCAAGGCCTGATTGCGTGGGGCCTACACAAGCACTCACTTCTGCCATGAATTAAGTTAGAAAAGCTGCAGAGAACCCCCACCCAAGACGGTGTGGCATCAGCTGAGAGCACTAGATTTGGAACCTTCTTGCCCTCATTGCCTATCAATTCCACCAGCTCAGTCTCTCTCCTGTCCCTCTGTCTTCGCCTCCTCTGTCATGGCCTTGGTCTGGGCTCCCCATTTTCTTGCCTCAACTGCTGCAGCAGCCTCCTAGCGGGCCCACTAAGTGCAAACATTGCTAATGCTTGAAGACGTGGCTCCTGGGAAGTCCTCTCCTCCAACTCTCAGCCCCTCCCTGTGCTCCCATCATCCACTGCACATCCCTGTTACCACGCTTACCACGTCCCCTGATAATGACCTATAGAGGCTGTTCCCACCCCACTAGACTGAGCTTCTCAAACAGCAGAGGATCCAAGCTGTCCTCATCTTTGCAGCCCAGGACCTGGCACTGTTTAACAGAATCACGGGCTCATAGTCGCAAAAGCACCAGGAACTGAGTTAAGTATTTTGCACCGTATTACCTTATTTGGTTAGTCCTTTTATGGCAGGCTTCCCCATTTTATAGATGGGAAAACAAAAGCACAGAAAAGCTAAGCCATTCGTCCAGCGTTTCACAACTAATCATTGCTGAGGTCAAGTCACAAGCTAGGCATTCTGGCCCACGCTCTCTAAGCCACGTTGCTGCACGTCAAGTCCTTAGGGAGGGCAAAGACTATTCACTGCTCCCGGTGAGTGGCACACAGTAGGTACTCAGGAATTGTTGAATGAAGCAGGGTTGAATGAGGGAATGCATGGGCAGGTTTGAGTCCCAACCTTATCACAAGCTAATTGTGGGGCTTGATCACAGACTTTCAAAGCTCCAGACTCCTTATTTCTTAGAGGTATCATCAAATTCAATTATTGATTCAACAGTTTTTAAGCACTTACTATAATCCAGACAACGTACTGGGTGCTGAACTACTAATAGAGCATGAACTATGTACCTAAGAAGTCTCTGTCAAGGTGGGATAACTCCAGGGGCGCCTGGGTGGCTCAGTCGGTTAAGCGTCCGACTTCGGCTCAGGTTCGTGATCTCACAGTTCGTGGGTTCGAGCCCCGCGTCAGGCTCTGTGCTGACAGCTCAGAGCCTGGAGCCTGCTTCAGATTCTACGTCTCCCTCTCTCTCTGACCCTCCCCTGCTCACGCTGTCTCTCTCTCTCTCTCTCTCTCTCAGAAATAAATAAAACATTAAAAAAAAAAAAAAAGGTGGAACAACTCCAGTACAGTGTGATAACAGAGCTAACAGGGCTGCAGCCAAACGTCTACGACAGCATCTCCCCTGGTTACATGCTAGAGGCACCGTGGAAATGTGAGACCATGAAATCTACAAAAAACCAGATTACTGGGTATCCTGTTTCACGTACTAGTCCAGGTATCTGACTTCATAGAGATCTGCACTTTTCGTTATTGTTGAGCTATTTTACAACTCCGTAAACTGCAGAAGGCAGAGTAATGCAAATGATTTTTTTTTTTAAGTAGGCTTCTAGCCCAGAACGAAGCCCATGAACTCATGACCCTGCGATCAAGACCTGAGCTGAGATCAAGAGTTGGACGCTTCCCACAACTCTTGTCAACTCATCTTTGACAAAGCAGGAAAGACTATCCCGTGGAAAAATAACAGTCTCTTCAACAAATGGTGTTGGGAAAACTGGACAGTGACATGCAGAAGAATGAGACTGGACCACCTTCTTACACCACACACAAAAAATAAATTCAAAATGGAGGAAAGACCTAAATGCGAGACAGGAAACCATCAAAATCCTACAGAAGAACACAGGCAGTGACCTCTATGACCTCGGCTGGAACAACTTTCTAGACACGTCGCCGCAGGCAAAGGAAACAAAGGCAAAAATGAACTACTGAGGCCCCATCAAGATAAAAAACTTCCGCACAGCAAAGAAAACAATCAACAAAACTAAGAGGCAGCCTAAGAATAGGAGAAGGCATTTGTAAATGACATAGCTGATAAAGGGCTAGTGCCAAAATCTAAAAAGAACCTATCAAAGTCAACACCCAGAAAACAAGTAATCCAGTTAAGAAATAGGTAGAAGACATGAGCAGACACTTGTACAAAAACAAGTCATCCCGGGGCGCCTGGGTGGCTTAGTCGGTTAAGCGTCCGACTTTCGCTTGGGTCATGATCTCGCGGTTCGTGGGTTCGAGCCCCGCGTCGGGCTCTGTGCTGACTGCCAGCTCGGAGCCTGGAGCCTGTTTCGGAGTCTGTGACTCCCTCTCTCTCTGACCCTCCCCTGCTCATGCTGTCTCTCTCTCTCTCTCTCTCCTAGAAATAAATAAAAAAAAAAAAACATTAAAAAAAATTAAAAACAACAACAACAACAAAAAAAAACAAGTCATCCAGATGGCAAACAGACACATGAAGATACTCAACCTCACTCATCATCAGGGAAATACAAATCAAATCCCCTACGAGATAGCACCTCACACCAGAATGGCTAATATTAACAACACAAGAAACAACAGATGTTGACGAGGATGCAGAGAAAGGGGGGACCCTCCTGCACTGTTGGCAGGAATGCAAACTGGTGTGGCCACTCTAGAGAACAGTACGGAGGTTCCTCAAAAACTTAAAAATAGAACTGCCTTACCATCCAGCAATTGCACTACTACGTATTTACCCAAAGGATACAAAAAACATATTTGAGGGGCGCCTGGGTGGCTTAGTCGGTTGAGCGTCCGACTTTCACTTAGGTCACGATCTCGCGGTTCGTGGGTTCGAGCCCCGCGTCGGGCTCTGTGCTGACTGCCGGCTCAGAGCCTGGAGCCTGTTTCAGTCTGTGACTCCCTCTCTCTCTGGCCCTCCCCTGCTCATGCTGTCTCTCTCTCTCTCTCCTAGAAATAAATAAAACATTAAAAAAAAAAATTAAAAAAAAAAAACA